CAGTTCCACTGTGTCCTCATTACGTACCTGATAGTAAAGGCAATGTTCTCGATATTGTTGTATATCAAGGGTCATTTTCGCTGACACCCTGCACTCTGGTCACCTACCAATAATGCGTAACATTCTGGATTATGTTAGAACACGGGAAGTTTTAGACCCAGTTGGAAACTGACAGACTCGGAGTAGTTTCAAAGCCTCGCCTCTAAACTCATATTTCCAAATATCCAAATTTGCTCTTCCATTGAAGCTCATAAAGGAGCACATGACTCTTCAGCCTCTACAGCTTCGGTATACAAGCTATCGAGTAGAAGAACTACAATTCTAGGCCAGAAATACGAAATATCTGGCCTAGATTCAATATTAAAGCATAGAAGAAAGTTCAGAGAGTTATGGCAAGGAACCAGGGATCCGGCATGTAAAACGGCAGTAAACTGGGTCACTCTAAATAGGAGAATTACCTGGAGAAGAGAACTTGAAAGGTGGGAAACACTGTTAGCATGCTATGAAGTCGCACTTCAAGCAGAATCCATCACAAAAATTGGTGGACCAAAGGCGCCATTTGTAATTCATTCCAATCGATAAAGTGAACATAAAAGCAGACTGCTTAGAAAGCCAGCTCAGAACGCATGACTTGTGTGACTGTCATCATCGACGACATATGGAGGTTCAAATCCTACCAGGAATCTTCCTGTGGTCGTGAAGCGCGACCCGCGCGTAAGGCTGACAACCTTACCGCCATCTGTGAGCCGATTGTCTAGATAATGTGGGACCCTTAACGTCTCACAGCTGTATGGGCCTCCATGGTCTGTTACAGGGACAGCTCTACCTTTTTCTACCTTTTTACTTTCAATCATAGAAAACAAAATTATGGCCACATTCCCAAGAAAACAACTGAGAACAGACTAAAGACTAATAATATTATCGTGCATTGATTCTCTCTAACAGGTAAGTGATTTACTTTTACTCTGAGAGCACTATGCTACAAGTCGGAAGGTCGCGGGTTCAAATCCCGATGAGGTCATTGGATTTTTCAATTGACCTAATCCTTCCGGCCGCACTATGGCCCTGGGGTTCACTCAGCTTCTAACAGAAATGAGTACCAGGAATGAAATAAATAATTTTCCTGGGGAGTAAAGCGCGGCCGGCGCGTAAGGCTGACAACCTTACCGCCATCTTTGAGCCGACTGTGTAGATAATGTGGTGGGATCCTCAACGTCTCACAACCCTATGGGCCTTCACCGCCTGTTACAGGGATAGCTTTACTTTTACTTCTTTTACTATACAAATAACAAATGACCCCAAATCTTATACACTAATACACGTGGTAATTTATTTCTACATAGCATAACAGCGAACCCCGAACGAAGGACAACCTACAATGCGGGACAGAAACACAAAAACGATATAGAATTTTACATTCAACGACAAGATAATTTTAAAGGAATTTTAAATTTTGAAAAATTTTAAAATTAGAAGAATTCTTGCAACTCCTTGGCGGTTGCACGTGTTTTATGACTGTGATGAGCAGTACTAACTTAGATCCATATTAGGACAGTTCAGTAACCTGAGACCTGTTTCATGAGATCGCCTGAAGATGGTCCCAATTGTGGACCGAAACATGTAGCAACTAACAAATAAAACCAAAGTGAGCAGTTATATTGTTTTTTTTTAATTGGGCTTAGTGGGGGGTGGAGTCCAACTGGGTCCACTCGGCACGGCGGCCACTTCTGGCCTATTGTACCTGCCCCGGGCGATTATGATGATGGAGGAATTGGTGGAATGAAGATTGGCAGGGGAAACCGAAGTACTCGGAGAGAACCCGCCCCAGCGCCACTTTGTCCACCAGAAATTCCACTTGACCAGACCCGGGATCGAACCCGGGGCGCCGCGGTGGGAAGCCAACGACTAACCGATTGAGCTATGGCTCGGCAGATCTATTGGTTTGTTTTTTATTGTTGTGTTGACGGCCAAATACCGCCAATCACGATACACAGCAGGATGCAAACAGTGAAGGAAAACCAGGTTCAGCTCAGTCAGTGTGCCGATTATTCTACGACTTGGACAACCGTGGGTCATGGGTCCCTTTCCAATCAGTGGTAGAGGTCCCCCCCCCCTCACTGTTCAAATCGGATCTGTGGTGCACACAGTCTCCTACCCAAAATGTCGCGGGTTGTACAGTGGCCGAAGCATATAACAGACCATTCATCTTCGTCTAGTAAAGAGGTTAATAATGCGTGGAACTATACCTCCATTCCCCGGTACCTCTCCTTGATGTGGTGTTTGTTTACGTAGAGGGATAACCTTAAGACTAGGTCTAGACGCCCTTAGTATCTAGACTGTATGCTATGTCAAGGGTTCACCAGAANACTGTGTAAGCAGACAGTCTGCTTTTACCGGTTCTCACGGTCTCTTCGCTTGCAGATTTCTTATATTTTTCTTCTACCCTGAAGATGGAGGTGATACGTTCCTCCGAAACGTCGGTTAATACCACATTTACACGGTGCCAAATCCCAGAAGACTGCTTTCTTCATAGTCACCGCCGTGAAAGCCTCAAATCTTACAGACCTACATTATTTGAGTGGTGCCATGTACTATACTTGCTCTGATATGCAGTCGTTGATTGCATCATTTAATATACCATTATTAAACCAAAGTTATAGCTAGCAGTACTGGACAATTTTTATTTAAAAAATTGTTGTAAATCGGGTGTTAGAATGTTCGGTAAAATTTGTTGGTCGAATTGAATTTCAATGTATGTTAGTCCACTATTTTGAATAATGCTGAGTTGGAACATCTGTTAAAATGGTTCGTCGTAATAATGAAATTGACACACGGTGTAAATATACTCGTAGATGCCATTACAATCTGTGACTTTATTTTCTTCATGTGCTTATACGTAAGAATGTTAGAGATCATTACTGTCTGTGGGTGTTGGAGGCGCATATTTTTAGGGTGTTATCTTTTTCTGGACAGAAAAAAGAACTCTATTGAACCGGGATTGTTCCACGGAGCTCCTCATTAACACTAGATAGTGTCAAGCAGATCGGAAGCCGGGCTGCAGGCAAGCTACGAACAGCATCAAAACAAAATTTTCCCATAATTGCCATTTTCGCAAACTTTCAGAACTGTTATCAAATTGTGTTGCTGATTAGCAATAGAATTTATAGCCCAACACCTTTGTATCTGCACTATTGATTAACTCTGTCAAGAATAGATTTTTACATGCTGCCTTTCGGGTGATTTCGAGTAGATGGAAACTGGTGTATTGAGAAAAAGGTTAGGCAAAGATGTCCACTGATTAAACGTCTATGTATTCCACAGTCCGTCAATAATGTAACAATTGTTTATTCGCCATTTAACATTTAACACAGCATGTTTCGGCCATAGATGGCCATCTTCAGGTGTCTTAATGCATCCAAACTGTTACACTGCTGTGATGTGCGCTAGAACGGCCCGTTGCAGTCCACTTAAAAAATAAGTAAAAAGTAAAGCTATCCCTGTACTAGGCCGTAAAGGCCCATAGGGTTGTGAGACGTTGAGGGCCCCACATTATCTAGAGAATCTGCTCAAAAATGGCGGTAAGGTTGTCAGCTTTACGTACCGGCCGCGCTTTACTCGCCAGGAAAATTATTTAATTAATTCCTCGTACTAATTTCTGTTAGAGGCTGAGTAAACCCCAGGGCCTAGTGCGGCTGGAAGGATTAGGTCAACTGAAAAAAATCCAATGACCTCATCGGGAATTGAACCAGCGACCTTCCGGCTTGTAGCATAGCCCCTCAACCAACTACGCTACCGCGTGCCCCGTCCACTTAAAAATAACATACTTAATTAAAATCCATAAAAATTTTCTGTTAAAATTTTTCGTAAAATCCTATACCACCTCATAAGGGGTGTCGTCCACTTGTTTGGAGCTATGTGATATTCCAGACACTAGTGAAGACAGCACCACACGCTGCTAGAGGGAACAACACACAAGCGATGGGCATATTATAGATTGCAGACGTAGCAAAACAACGGACTAACAAACACAAAAACAAGATGCAGAAACGAACCTTCTGGAATAATCACATACTCCAGACAAGTGGACTACGCCCCTTGAGAGCTGGAATAGGATTTTACGAAAAAAATGTAATAGAAATTTTAATGGATTTTAATTAATTATTTATGTTATTTTTAAGTGGACCGCAACGCGCCGTTCTAGCGCACATCACAGCAGTGTAACAGTTTGGATGCATTAAGACACCTGAAGATGGCCATCTATGGCCGAAACATGTTGTGTTCAGTGTTAAATGGCGAATAAACAATTGTTACATTATTGACGGACTGTGGATACACATACGTTTAATTAAAGTTTTGCAACAGGATGCTGAAATACAGAACGTCCTCTGATGCTAACGCAAAAAGCTAGTCGTGAACATGACGGCAACAGTTTGTCTACCGACATATTATTATGATAATTTTTATTATTATTAATTTATAATAAACATTCTAGTTCTTTTTTTGGTCCCATTTCAGGTCATAAATAAAAAAAATGAATTGCACAATGGCAGTACTTCAACACAAACCTTGCTATTAACGTGTATGGGAAAAATAATACTGTTTTACGTCAAATTAATTCATCCAAAATTTAATCTTATAAATCGGAGTCCTGCATACAGCCGCTCGATGTTTCCAATACGGAAGCATTGGCTAATGGTTTGAAAATATTCGAACAGCAGACGTGCGTGTCCTACGAGAGTTTCCCACCCCCTCCCCTGTCTACTTGACCGCTGCAACTACAGTAGTCAAAACAAGTACTCGTAACAATGCAAGACAGACGTACACCAATATACTCAAAGTATAAACTTCTTTCTGCACTTCTAAAATACGTTTATCTATTTTAAAGTGTGCCTGCGTTATAGTTTATTACGGAATAAATAGTTGAAACTTAATACTAAGCTGTGGTCGATGTACGTAGATAGTCAACTGACCACTTTACTGCGCGGTTGACAGTAGGCCGGCGACGTCACAGTAGGCCGGGTGAGCCGCTGTTGCTGAAGTGGCAGGCCTTATTCCGTTTCATGTAGCAAGGTAAATATTTGTGTGTTAAAGTAATTTTGAGTGATTTTATGTTTGTGGTTTTGTGTCATCTTATGATTTAAGCAATATTTTGTTTGTGGAGTCAGTATGAGATGTTTTCTTTAAAAGTGTCTTGTTCTTAATGTTGAAGGGTCAGTCCGCCGAATGTGATGAAGGGCCCATAAGAATCATTGCAGAAAATTTCCGCCATTTTGAAGAAGCTGGTCAGTCGTGTTGTGCAAAATTTGTTCTTCTCTTTTGGTTGATTAACTCGGTAATTTTGGTATTATTTCAACATCAGAATCATTTTTTACGGGCATTAAAGTTGTTCGACGGTGTTGCGTTTTGTGACGTTTGTTTGGAAACATGGTGTGCGAATCGCACATATGGAAGGTAGACGTGCGTAACTGTTTATGTAGGGCCTGATAAAGTCTGTGGTATTAGTTGGCATTCACACCTGCCACATAGTTTCTACATCAGGTGATATGTCAGAAGAATACAATGTTTTGTGTATGAAGTTCCTTAACCTATATCATTGCATGTGTTACGATGTAAGTGTGTGCAAGGCGTTAATAAAGTTTGATTCTGTTACACAGGGTGAGATCACAGACATGGGAAGTGAGCATTACTGCCTTAGGTGGAACAATCATCAAAGCAATTTATTGGGTGTGTTCAGTCAGCTGCTTCAAGACGAGAGCCTTGTTGATGTAACGCTTGCTTGTGCTGAGGGACATTCAATCCGTGCTCACAAGGTGGTACTCTCGGCTTGCTCTTCCTACTTCCAGACTCTGTTTGTGGACCATCCAAACCGTCACCCTATTGTCATACTCAAAGACGTTAGATTTGCAGAATTGAGAACTCTGGTTGAATTCATGTACAAGGGTGAAGTGAATGTTGAGTACTGTCAGTTGTCAGCCCTGTTGAAGACTGCAGAGAGCCTGAAAGTAAAGGGTCTTGCAGAGATGACGAACTTAAATTCTGCAAGGGAAGATAGAAGTGAGGGACATCAACAGCAGCAACAACAACAACCAAAACACAGCAGCATAAATGTGCCAGACACACCAGTAACACCGGAAGTGGCAGGCACAACAAGACTGATAAATGAGGATACTGATACACCTCCTCCAGGTGGGAGCTTATCACCACCCCCAAGCAAAAGGGCAACTCAAGTTCGACGTGACTCTGGTTGCAATGACAATGAGAGTTGTGATGAAGGTGGGGGCGGGAGGGTAGAAACACCAGGTGTTAATGATCTCTCCTCAGTTCATGGTGGTTGTGTAGGACCGAGTGACATGTCAGTAACAACTAATGCAACCTCATGTAATCCGCCCGCTACCGCGGTCACTGCCACATGTTCAACTGCCACCAGCAGATTGCCATCACCACACAGCAATGAGCCTATGCCCGGCCCATCTGGTTTGGTACCAGTACAGCAGGTTCCTTTGGTAAGTATTCCCCAGTAAAATACCAAAAATTATACCTGAAGAGAGGGATAAGTTATCTGAAGAGCTATTCTGTTCTGAAATACAAAAATGCCCTGTTGCTGTTTGAAGAATTGTGATTTGTATACCTTGCATATAACTGCATGTAAACATTTTAGAGATATATTGTGTTCCTTGAAAAAGTGTAGGAGTATTAAAGAAAGGCCAGGTTGTATGCAAATTCATTTATTTTGGAAATTAAATAACTGTAACAAATGTGCTAAAGCCATTAAATTCTGATAGTAATCTTCATAATTTTACTGGAAAAACACTTTTATACCCATTCCACAGTAGTTTCTTATTTAATATATGAGTAACTAAGAGCAGTTGTTTGTATTCAGTTCTTTGTGTTATAATATTTTTATGTTAATGCCCGTAAAATGGATTTATAAAGCAAGTACCATTTTGTAAGTGGTGTAGAGGGTTATTAATTTTGTAGTATATCCTGATCTCGTAGCATAACATTTGTTTCGTTCCTGTGTATTTATAAATCAGAGATAAATGTAATTAAATTTATAAATTTGAGATCCGAATAATTTAGGTGAGGTGCACGTTATTAGTTCAAAATTAAGGTGCAAACAGTTTTTAAATGTGGGCTTTAGGGAAAAAATTTGAAAGGTGCACATTCCGTGAATTTAAGATGCACCTAAATTTTTCAAAAGGAAAAAGTGTGAAAAGTGTGCATCTTCTGTTGAAAGTAGTATGGTATTACAGGCTTATGTTAATAATTGTTGACAGCTCAGTTTATTTAATTCCTGCAGGACTTTTCTTCTCACAGAAACCCCTGAGGCCTTCAACAGGAGGCTCATGTTTAAGATAACAAGTTTGCTCTTTTTCCAAAATTGAACCTTAATGCATGAATGTGAGCTTTTTAGGGATGTGCCAGGAGTGCTTAGGTAACAGGCAGCATTTGTTTGTGAATTGCTGGCATATGGGCATGTTATTAGTGTTGCAGTCGTGAGATGCCAGACTAATTGCAGTGCACTCCATGCATGATCTTAGGAAGTGGCATTTGATATTTTTAGTTCAAGCTGTATTAAGGGATTTGCATTTTCTGGGTTATAACAGTGTGTAGTGTTGTAGGTGTGTTTACCAGTATTCAGAGGAAGCTTCCACCTTCAGGTTACCGTGAAATCTTGTACGTCATTACTTGTGTGTCAGAGGACAGTACTGCGTATATATTCAGATATCTTTATGTACCACATAGTATATTAGGTGGTTTCCAGTATTTGAAAGGAACATGTACTTCCACAGAAAGTGGACTCTCTGTCCATTCCCAGTGACACAGCCTGGCTCCATCCCTACCCCTTGCCTCTGTACCTAAGTGACCACCATCCTTGCATCTTGCCAGTCTAACTTTATTGAACTCAGTAGACGCACTTAAGGCCTGGAGACGTAGGCAGCATGTGTCTCCAAAATGTCGGTGTCCATCTACAAGACTACATGATGGCAATGTAGAAGACCCTAATCTGAACAATTGATGCTGCAAAAATTCCAAATCTTAACAAAAGAAATATTGTTGCAGGTTGTTTCATTAAATAGGTGTTTCACTTTATGAAGTTCACAATTTTGCTACAGGTAGTTGTTTGATGATGATGATAGATATTTGATAAAATGACCTACAGCAGTACTTTATCATAGGCTTTGCCATATGGTAGACATTAACAGTTAGAATGTATGGCATTTTTGAGTTTCATTTTATTATGTCACTTAATTACTTACTATAATTAGTCCTTTTGTATGGCTGTCCTTTACTTGCATATTGTAGCACATTCACAATTCTGATCAACAGTTTTTGCTGTCTCGTAGTTTATCTTCAGGTGATTATGTTTATTAGAATGTGATACTTTTTGGTGTGCATCATAATCAGAATTCATCAGTTTTTTTGTGCATCGTAATCAGAATTCATCAGTTTTGTTAGTGCTTACTCGCTTGTCTCTCATGCCTTGAAATCAGGTATGTAATTGATTCCCTTCCAGATTTCTAATCTCTGAGGTCTTGCTTCATGTTAAAAACAACACTTTTAGACCCTTTTTATGGAACAATTTGCCACTGTATACCTGCTTATGCAGGTAAGAGATAGGTTTGAATTACTTATACAAGAACCTGTAGACTATAGAGTAGTTCTGGAGAAAATACATGTAGGTCAGTGTCTCACATACATTCTTGTCTTTGAATACCTTCTGATATTTTTGAAGTTGCATCACCATACTTCATTTCGGGACCCTAAATTAGAAGGTGACAATCTCCCACCGCAAATGTTTGCATGCATCTGGGAGAGGGAACCGACACATGCATGGACATTAGAGCATAATGATTTTTTTTTTCTGGAAAGATATGTCCTTCATGTGTGCGTTAAAGTAATATCATATGACATAATAATTGTCATAATTTTAGAACCATTTTACCTCTTTGTGTATCTTACTATACATTCTTCTCACCTTGGATTTTATTTATTATATTTTATTACAGAATTATTTATTTTAAATTCTTGCAGTCGTTGAAGAAGGAAGTAGATTGGGATCGAAGTGTAGGAGATGACAGAAGCACCACGGGAGAAAGTTCCTCAGATTACAGGCATCCACATGAACCTGTAAGTAGATGTTATTCTTTTATACTTCCTGAGTTCCAATTTGTTGATCATTCATAAGATAAGGAAGGTGTGGTTCATGTGTGCATAGTATGCAGGTGTGTGTAGTTGTATGAAACATTCTACTTGTACTTGTAGTGCCAGTACTGCAGATGTAGTATTCTTTTATACTTTCTGAGTTCGAATTTGTCGATCATTCATAAGAGAAGGAAGGTGTGGTTCGTGTGTATGCAGGTGTGTGTAGTTGTATGAAACAATCTACTTACAGGGGTTTGTAGTGCCAGTACTGCAGATGTAGTAATAACCTACTTACTGCAGGTCTCAGAACATAATTGTAACTAACCTGGTGGTGTCAGGATAGATTGCACTGATTTTGAATGAACTGTAAAATCTGTCATTAAGTCCAACATTGGATTGCTACAAGGAACCACCTCATGGAATTTGCAGCAAAAAATTACACCATCAATAGTGATAAATATATTAATACATTTAATAAAGGGGCACGCGGTAGAGTACTTGGTTAAGGCACTATGCTACAAGCCAGAAGGTTGCGGGTTCAAGACCTGATGAGGTCATTGGATTTTTTCAGTTGACCTAATCCTTCCAGACGCACTACAGCCCTGGGGTCGACTCAGCCTCTAACAGAAATGAGTACCAGGAATTAATTAAATAATTTTCTTGGAGAGTAAAGTGCAGCCGGCGTGTAAGGCTGATAACCTTACTGCCATCTTTGAGCTGATTGTCTAGATAATGTGGGACCCTCAGCATCTCACAACCCTATGGGCCTTCACAGCGTGCTACAGGGATAGCTTTACTTTTTTTTTAATACGTTCAATATTGGTAAATTAACCTTTATCTGCCAGATTTAGATCTCTTGCCTCTGGTGTGCTGGTGACCATATTTAAACTTGGCAGTAATGGAATTTATATTAATGATGATACACCCACATTCCCATAGTAGATGGAGTATAAAAAAAAATAGTGTAACTTATTTCCACACGCACTTCTGGAGTCTTTGAAGACTGGTGCTTTTAGTTGCCTGTGAAGTTCATGTAGGAAGCAAGCTGCCTTTAGGGATTCGGTGGTTTAAGGTGTTCGATAATGTAATACTTTCATTTTAGTTACTCCTTATTGGTAATTAGACTAAAACAGCTTATGAAATGCTTTCAATTATGAATGGTTCTTCTGAACCTAAATAATATATATCCTGACATATCATACTTTACAGACTGCATATGGTTGCAGGAAACACTTCAGGATTTTAAAAAAGAAAAGAACAAAAGTTACAAACTCAAGTATGGGAAGTGCCCAATAAAGGAACCTTTACTTATGGGAAACTAATATCCCTGCATCGTAGTCATGGAGAGTTTGTTTGTTGTATTTGAGATTCATATCGTGACTATCAGGAGTACTAATGTCTGTGATGTAACATCGTGTAATCCAGTAGACGCCACCAGTGTTCGCCAGGCTACACAGCATCACATCCCACAAGATAGTTACTCCTCCTTACTCAGATTGTTTAGTCTTAAGAATATATTATTGTAATTTCTAGGGTACTGTAAACATAGTGTTCCAGAACATACTGGTCGGACATCATGAGGATGTTGTGTGTGTCATTTGAAGCAAAAAATGTCCAGTAAGCGCTAGTGGAGTGAGCTGTAACTTAGTTTCTGCTTGTACCTTGTCTAGGCTAGTATGGCTGTGTTGTGTTGCAGTGGGATCATAGTCTAAATGATGGCCATGTTTACAAATGACATGCATTTTGTATAGTTTCTGCAACAGAAATGGTAGGGCTACTGTGGTGGAATACTGGCAATGGTATCCCCCTCACAGTACATAACAGAACTTTTGAGGGAGACCGACCGGTTCCTTCCCACAAGCGTATGCAGAATGGCGGTGTGGGGAAGATGATGGTCTGACAGCAGTGCAACAAAGCCCAGGTACAAGTATACAAAGAATTTCCAAGGTGACTGGTTTAGCACAGACAGGGATTGAGAATTTTGCTCCATGACGGCCCATGTCTGTATCACCTCCGAGGAGTGCAGCACACCTTTTGGGGAGATATCATGCGAACCATGTATAATTTTGTTAGTAGCTGTAACTACAGCTAACACATTTTGCATGACATTCTGTTCATAGATGGTCATTTTACCCGTGATGGTATTACCAACACAAGTACTCGAATTTTAGGACACATGAAAATCTGCATGAGGTAGCAGAATGTCATTTTCAAACGTTTTCTGTGGACATGTGTGGGTTTGGAGATTTAGGATGTCACCTGCTAGGACCAAATGTTATCGAGGGATGTTTTAACAGCTGTGTTGTACAGAAATTTTCTGTAAATTGAATTAATGCTGCATTTAGAGGATATGCCTTAGCATGATGGAATATCACCTCATTTGAGCAGAGGAAGATGGATAGGAAGAAGTGGACAGGTGGCTTGGCCCAATCACTCAGTCTGCTGACATGAACCTATTAGATTTCTTTCTGTGGGATTCACTGATGTTGAGAGTGTATCATGGTAGTAAACTGGAAGCGAGGTCACAGATGAAGCAACCATTGGTATCAGAAACGAACTGGGATGTATGTAGTCTGATGGTGGGCATTTCAAACATATTTCGTAATAACCTTGAAACTTAATTGTTTTGTTTAATATGATAAACCTGAGTAAAAGACTTTTTTTTAATGTTATATTTTAGCATCCTGTTGCACTGATTTATGTCCATGATTTATTCTGACCGTCTTACAGTGCATACATTTATTCAAATTACTCTTCACTCCTGCACTACATGTTTCAGCACTAAAGTGCCATCTTCAGGTGCTTTTTGATGTACGTCGAACTACTTCATTGCATGCCCTGTTGTCTTTATACTAAAATAACTAAAATATATATTCGTCATATATATTGATAAATTTTTAATATTAAAAATATTAAAACTGTTCAGGATTTGTCATCCTTATGTCGTATCTCAATACGCGAGTCACGCCTATCTTCTTCTATTGGAGTATTCTTCCTACTTTCATGCGTGTATTGTGCTTTGTGTTGTGTCTTGCTCCTGTGACTTATGATCATAACTCAATCAAAACGAAGACAGCACACACACACACACACACACATACCCAGCAGGCCCAGCAGTATAACACACGCAGTCACAGGAGCAAGACACAACACAAAGCACAATACACACGTGAAAGATGGAAGAATACTCCGATAGAGGAAGATAGGTGTGACTCGCATATTGAGATACGACATAAGGATGACAAATCCTGAACAGTTTTCATATTTTTAATATTTAAAATTTATCAATATATATGACGAATATATATTTTAGTTATTTTAGCATGAAGACAACAGGGCATGCAATGAAGTAGTTCGACGTACATCGAAAAGCACCTGAAGATAGCACTTCAGTGCTGAAACATGTAGTGCAAGAGAGAAGAGTAATTTGAATAAATGTATGCACTGTAAGACGGTCAGAATAAATCATGGACTTTTTTTTTAATTCAGTGCTGCACTAAAGTAGTGCTTAACTGGATAATGGTGTCAAATTGACGTATAAGTTGTTAGACATCTTTTGCTCCATATGACCTGTAGAACACACACTGAAGTTCAGCCAGTATGTCCATAGAACACTCTGTATACAAATTCAGTCATCATTTACTTGGCCCTTTCTACCCTGTTGCTATTATAAATGTTGCAGAGAATGTCCCCAAATAGTAGAAATTGCTATAGCTAAATTTAGCAATATCATGTGCATGTGATTAAGAAAAGTTTTCATAAATGCTTAACAAAACTGTGGGATGATGTTTGCAAGTTCCCATGTTACAACAGTAGTATGACACACCTGTTTCCTGACTATTGGGAATTGTTTGCCTGATTTCTGAGACAAAATATGACAATTTTGGTAGTAAAAATTGTTATCATCGATTTGAGTTCATAAATTGTGCTACGTATTGAAAGTAGACAAAGTTTTTTGTTATATTACCCAATATCTGTAGCATTCTCTAAATGTCATGATTGCATATTATGATACAGCATTTTTCCACAGTGATGCTAACAGAATCAGTGTTTTCAGTAAGAGTTCATCATGCTGTACCTTGGGTTTTCATGGCCTGTATCTAAATGTGTAACTTTTGCTTTTGATGTTTAGCTGCTCCATTTTGGCTCACATTGCAGATACCATCTTCAAGGTGAATGAGGTAGAAGGGGAAATTGACCCAGTGTGTGGGTCTCGAGATTAGGGGTGGTGGTTTGGAGCTTGGTGCTATCCAGTGTGTAGGGAGAAAATGGTGAAGAAGGGTTAGAGGAGAACAGTTGTGGCATGTACTTCACCCCCACCCCTACTCTCACAACAAGACCTACATAGTGGGCCAGTTCCTCCTCATCCCCCATCCATCACAAAGATAGTGACTGCAGTGTATGCTGAACAACTGGAACAGCGTCAGTATGACGCAGGTGTATATGGAAAATTGAAGTCTTTTAAGATTCCATCACTGACCTCTGCAAGTTGCTGTTAAATTGGTAATGAGATGCAATATCTCATGTTTGCTGTGTTAGTTTCCTCATGGGTTTTAGTTTAAGTTGAAGTGTTCTTGAAACTGTGAAGTTACTGAACTGATGCAGTATTCCTGTGTTGAATGCAGGATTTGGATTTCAGATAAAGTTCTTTATAGTAAGATTCAACAAGTCTGGTTTTAAGTTTTAATATGGGTATTGTTCAGTATATTCTGAGCCTGTAGATGACAGCTGGACAGTGTGTGCACGCAGTGACGTGTTTCACAACTGCTGCACGTACCCACTTGCTGGCATAGGTGCTCACCCATGATTAGAGTGGTAGCACATTCTGTACAAATTTTTTGTCATTGTTATGGATTTAGCAAAATGTGCATACTGTTCAATAACTAAGTTCCACATGAAACAAGACAAGGGCAATCTTGGTTGTATGTCCAGTATTTTCTAGGAGACATTGTGTACTTACTGTTAGATATATTTCTGCAGCAAGT